GAAAAAGGAAGAGCGAGCGTAGCGGTCATGTAAGGAGGAAGGAAGCCAATACGGTACTGTTTCCGCCCCAATCCCATCTCAGTTTAGTCCTCTTCTTTACACTCTTATCTCATCTTCCCTCTTTACCACTCTCTGTATTATTGTTTGTTTCATTGATCTCATAATCATATTTCTGGCACTTCTAAAAATTTGATTGCTTGGGAATTTCTAGGTAACATTAGTAATCCATTTGAGTTCTGTTTCTGAGAAAAAGATTGGAAATTTATATGATTATTTTCTCCAGAGAAGTGATTTTTTTTTTTTTTTTGTCTACTGGGGCTTACCATTTGTGATGGGTTTGATTTCTATCAAGGGAGAAATGTAAATTTAGGTCAAGTAACCTCTTTTAGGCTGCAGATACTCAAGATTCAGTGTTCTAATAAGGACTCTCTTCTTAATTGTATAGATTCTATGTAAATTTATGGTTTGTATTGAGTTTCAAATTTAGATGATCATTTTGTCTAAAGAAGTGATTTTTTTCTAGTGGGGCTGACAATTTGTGATGGGTTTGATTTCTATCAAGGGAGAAATGTAAATTTAGGAAAAGTAAGTTTTTTTAGGATTCATTGTTCTAACAAGGTCTCCCAGTATTTTTAGGATTCATTGTTCTAACAAGGTCTCCCTTTTCTTCAATTAATAGATTCACTGTAATTTTATGGTTTGTATTGAATTTCAAATTAACATTGATTTTGAGATATGCAGATGGATGATGAGTTGATACAAGATCTGATAAGTGATTTGCCTCAGAGCATTATAGAAAGCATCCTGATTCGACTGCCGATACAAGATGCTGTAAGGACTAGTGTTCTATCAAGTAAGTGGAGGTACAAATGGGCTACAGTTACGCACCTTGTATTTGACAATAGATGTGTTGCTCTATCTAATGACAGATCAGTAGATCAGGCCAGCCTTGTAAAGTTTATTACCCGAGCTCTTTTTCTTCACCAAGGACCAATTCACAAGTTCCAGCTCTCTACTAATTACTTGCAATGCTCCCCTGATATAGATCAATGGTTGCTTTTTCTCTCGAGGACTGATATCAAAGAGTTGTTTCTTGAATTGGGAGATGGAGAGTGGTTTAGGGTTCCTTCTTGCCTTTTTAATTGTAAAAAGTTGACCCGTTTGGAGCTTTTTCGTTGTGAACTTGATCCACCTCCTAGTTTCAAAGGATTCTTGTGCTTGAGAAGTCTCAATCTTCACCAGGTTTTAGTTGCCCCTGAGGCAATTGAAAGTCTTATTTCAAGTTGCCCCCTTCTTGAGAGTATGCAATTGTCATACTTTGATAGTTTAGCTCTTACCATCCACGCCCCAAATCTCAAGTATTTGTGTCTGGAAGGTGAATTTACAGATATTTGTCTCAAAAATACTCCACTTTTAGTTGCTATTTCTGTTGCTATGTATATGACTGAGGATGTTGCTGAGCACTTTGAGCAAAGTTCAAGTTGCAATTTCATCAAGTTTCTTGGTGGCGTACCGCTTCTTGAGAAGCTTGTTGGGCATATATACTTCACAAAGGTAAAATACATGATATTGGATTTTGGTTTATCAAGTTGCTTTAGTTATGTATCACTTCAACATGCTTTCATTTACATGTTCTCTATTTTGAAGTATTTGAGTATAGGTGATTACCCAGGAAGACTTCCCATCACATATAGTCATCTAAGGGTAATAGAATTATATCAAGTAAGTTTTGAAGATATGAATGAGATACTTGTTGTTCTTCGCTTGATTTTGAACTCTCCTAATTTGAAGGAACTTCAAATTTCGGTAAGTTTTGTGTGTCCTACGTTTAGAGTGGTGTTGATATCTTAATTATTTGTTTTGTTTCTACGCTACCCTGTAGTGGATCATTGCAGATATGGACTCGGCCTGTTATATTTGCTTTTGTTTCTTTAGGGTTCTCCAAACACATTGCCTGCTATAGGAGCACCTGATTTAGATTTCTGGGAGAAAGAGTGCCCTTCAGATTGCACACTCAAGCGACTCAGAGATGTGAAGATGACAGACATGTCCGGAGTACCTCATGAGATGGAATTCATCAAATTTCTGCTTGCAAATTCTCCAGTACTCGAGTCAATGACCATCTCACCATGTGTTGTGATGGATGGAAAAGTGCATATGCTAATTGAGTTGCTGAGGTTCCGCCGGGCTTCTCCTCAAGCAGAAATCTTATTCATTCAAGATTAAACAGTTTCTATCCTTTACTATGCCTTTGCATCTGCTAACCTTTCCTTCCTTTTTGAATCAAGGACAATACCAAAGCATTTGTTTGTATCCGATTCTTTTGAAATGAAGAACTTGGAATTATGTATCTTTTTGTACATTCTACAATTAGCATAAACATTGTTGCAGTATCCATTCTGAAAGAAAAAAGTAATCTTGGATGCTAGGATTGAATTGAAGTGGTTACAAGCAAAATTCATTTTGAGAAACATTTCTTTTATTGCCACTGGTTCACAATAAACAATCTCCTGAAAAATCTTTCACTCACCACAAACAGAATGAAACACTCAAACCTGAATTCAACTTCTTGGAATCGAAATTTACACAATCACAAGTTTGTTACAGAATTAGAGTTCCAGTTTCATATAATGACTTTATACAAAAAGAAAAAAAAAAACGCCCGGGAAAGGAACACTGGTTTCAGCACATTTCTTTTATCAAAATACTTTAAGCTTTTAGCCTTTCCCTTGTAGGCTATTTCTAACCATTTACAGACTTGGTTGTCATCTGGGTCCAGAAAGCTCCACAGCTTGAGCAAGCAAGGAAGAATCATCAGTAAGATCAGAGTATCGTTCTGAAGAGGAGAACTCATTGGCTTTGGACCTGGTTGCTTCAGCTCTCTGTGAAGCTTCCCATTTCTCAGCAAGTCCATCACCTTCGAGCATCCGAACCACTTCAGACATCTTTGGCCTGTGAATTGGAAGGTATTGAGTGCATAAGAGAGCCACCTGAACCATTTCTTCAAGCTCAATTCTATCATAGTTGTTCTTCAGGTCTTTGTCCACTAGCAACTCAAGTTTCTTTTCTTGGTGAATTTTCCTTACCTGCAAAAGTTAATCAGATGAGTAAATACACCATGCAGGATTTTTGACACACCACAAACTTTCTGGCAGGTAATAGTATCTTGTTTAGCCTCACCCAGTCAAGCATGGCGCCTTTCTGGTTTGCTGTTTTCCCAAACTCTAGAGCTCTTAGGCCAGATATCAGTTCAAGTAGAAGAATACCAAACCCAAAAACATCTGTTTTCTCAGAGGACTGCCCAGTTGAGAGGTATTCTGGTGCTATATGCCCTACTGTGCCCCTCACTGCTGTTGTCACATGCGAGTCATGATGATCCAGTAGCTTTGCCAATCCAAAATCTCCAACAAAAGCCTCACAATAATCATCAAGCAATATATTTGCAGCCTTGACATCCCTATGAATGATCTTTGGATCACACTGCTCATGCAGGTATAACAAACCCCTAGCAGCTCCTAATGCAATTCTCTTCCTTGTGCTCCAATCCAAGGCTGGTTTGGCTGCAATAAGAGGAATCCGAAATTTTATGTTGTATTGGGCGATATTTAAGAACACAGACAAACAGAAGAGGAGCAAAGGAATTATTTACTCTTAAGGCGAGAAGCAACACTTCCATTGGACATGTAGGGGTAAACCAGGAGTCTCTCTGTTGCTGTCATACAGAATCCATAGAGCCTCAGGAGATTCCTGTGAACTGCAAGGCTTATCATCTCAACTTCAGTCTGAAACTGGATTTCACCTCCAACGGCATTTCCATCTTTCAGCCTTTTTACTGCTACTAATGTTCCATCATGGAGATAACCTTTATACACATTGCCGAAACCTCCCTTTCCAATCAAATTCTTGCTGTTGAAGTTGTTTGTAGCTACCTGGAGTTCTTTAAAGTGAAACCTCCTCAAGTTTCCAAGGCATATTTCTTCTTTATGCCTCTCTGAAAATGTTGAAAAGAGTGTGTTTATAGACAAATTAAGTTTATTTCATTCATGTAACTGTATTTAGATCTTTTTACTAACCATTGACAACATCAAAGAATATTTGCTGGTTATGTCTTTGCCTCCACCAGAGAAGAAAACCAAACCCAAGAAGAAGCAGGCAGATGCAGCCTAGGGTTGAACCAAAAGCCAAAGCAAGTTTGTGGCTCTTTGGTGTTCCTGAAGGCAGAGAGCCTAACAACCATGCAAAGATGGTATATTAGAATTTAGAATAATTTTAACAAAAATAAAATTTGGATAGATTAAAATTTTAAAATATGGAATATTAGATTTGAATTCCAAGCTATATATTAAAATCTAAAAAGGGCAAAGCAAATCATGAAATTAACACTGAAGTCAAAAAGAAGATCATTGCAGGTGTAGGGAAAAGAAACAACACAATTTTTTAAGGAGAAATTCAAATTTTGAACTGGAAATCAAGAAACTTGCAGGAAGAGGGAATTATTGCAATTACTTTGTGAATTATTCAAGGAAAAGGACATTGGCATCGATCTTGTTCGAAAGCAGTCTTTCTCAGTTCCAGTAGCACAAATCAAAGGATTTCCCACAATGCTGTGTCAACTAAAAACATGTAAGAAAATGGTAAATGTAAAAAAAGAAAAGATAACGATATTCAAGTTTCCTGTTTTGAACAGAGTGAAAACAGAAACAGATGGGAAAAAATATAGGCGTGATATACTTGAATGTCTTGGCAAGCAACCCTGGTACAGGACCACTCAAATTGTTGAAGGACAAATCCCTGGAAAAATTAAACAAAATCCATGTAATCCTAGCTCTGTCATAATCTATTTCTGAAAGACAAAAATTGAATGTTAAACTTCGAAGGTTTTGAAGAGGATTACAGAAAAGTAAGCTGGGTCATGTTTGCCAACGAGGAAGGAATAGGTCCTGATAGACTGTTATTATTCAGTCTCCTGTAAGTATCCAAATCAAAACCAATCATTAGATTCATAGATAATTTAGAATTTTCATATTTTGAAGGGAAAGAATAGGTACTTACAGGTATTGCAAACTGCTTATATGGGACAGGGTGCCAGGAATTTGACCACAGAAATGGTTATTAGAAAGATCAAGAGTTTGCAGCATAGGCAGTCTCCCTATCTCTGAAGGTATATTTCCTGATATATTATTGTTTTGTAGGAGCCTAGAAAACATTTCATGTCATAGTAAGTTCAATACAGAAACCATAAACCACAAACAATAATCCTGACAAATTGGTAACTTACACGAGCTGGAGATTTGTCAAGTTCCCAATACTACGTGAAAGGGTACCAGATAAGTACTGGCTTGGAGCCGCTCTGCAACAAAACCAATTCAACCTCTTCAGGGGAATTTCGTCGATCACCTTGGCATCGTTTTCCGTTAGGCTATTCAAACTTTGAGTTTAGAATTGATTTTGGAGGATATACTTACAGGGCAACAACTAGATTTTCAAGAGAACAAGTCACCATAGTCCAGCTACATGGATCAACAGCATGCTCATCCCAATTGTTAAGAACTCCATAAGGATCAACCAAGGAACCTCTGATGTCCATTAAAGCTTGCACTGTGGAAAATTTTGAAAGAAAACATAAGGGGTCATTTCATTTTCTACGTTACTTCTTCCTTTGAGAAGGAAGTTCACTAGTAGAGTTACCTTCATAGTTGACACCTTTGGAAGAGAGCAACCCATATGCAGAAACCCACATACAGAACAAGACCAAACAGCACAAAACAAGCTGTTCTTTCCTGAACTCCATTTCTGTTCCGGCTTCAGAAAACAAGGTGACTAGAAACCAAAATCAGCTTAGGAGCTGGTTAGGATTTGTAAGAAAGGGTCAATTCTAGACAACTAATTCTGAAGTGGGTTTGTTTTGTTATATGCAATGTATACATCACGAGGCAGAAGAAGTTCTCATACTTTCCTCACAAGGATTCACGCAAACATACGGACATACGCTCCCCCACCTCTATGTCAGACCCAAGAGCCTAGAAAAGCAGAGGTTTTTGGTACTAAAGCACTAAAAACAGAAGTAACATGCGTGCCACTGGTTCAGCAAAAGCAAAGGAAAAAGAAATATATAAAAGCTAGCCCTCATTAGCCAAATCTAGATAATATCAAAGATGATTGAAAAAGAAAATTCCTTCCATTATGCATTCACATTTCAAATACAGCATGCTTTAGAATTTTCTATTCCATTCCCAGACTATAAACTGCAAAACAAAGTGCAATAGTAACTGTGAATCGATGTAAAGATTAAAAATTTTGAATTCTTAATCAAAATCTACCTGGTGGGTCTGGGGGATTTTCTGTCAGGGGAGAGATTGCTTCGGTTTGCTAAAGTTTCCACTATTACTTGTGGGAATCAAACATTCTCTGAGCTTGGCTATGGTAAAAACAAGGACTCAAATTCCATCTTTCATTTGCTTTGTGGTATGGTAATTATTAGAAAAAGGTCAGAATCTCGAGGGTTTGTGCTCGAGATTGATGATGCTATGGAGCTCTTCTTGATGTCTTTGCTTTGTTGTCATTTCTTTTCTTTTATTCTTTTCATTTTTGGAACTAATTTCAAATTTCATACATTAATAAAATATAATTTATTTTTTTTACTAATCATATTATGCAATTTAATATGTGATATTTATTTAATAACAACAAAAATGGGTTTTTGCTTTATTGATTCTAATTCACTCATTTTGATCCTGTCTCCATACACATCACAGTCAACAGACACTCCCATTAAACAAACAAAAAGTAGCCACCTTTATAAAGCAAAAGCTGCTAACTCACTCACCCTCTCTTTCTCCCCTCTCCCTCCTCTCCAAACATAAACCGGTGGGCCCTGCATATCTCATGTTGTCTGTGAACGTTCACATCCGTTTGATGAAATCTAATGGCGATGATCCCACAAGCAAGAACCTTCTCTTCTAATGGAGGCCAACTTTGATCACAGCAATCCTTGAATCAAGCAAAACTGAGTAATTTACCTGTTGTTCATGGATGCACGTGCAATGGAGTCATGGAGACCCTACAACTTGGTTGACTTGATCCTCAAAGCTCTTCTTTGGACCAATTGCTAATGTATTCCATGATTATCATTTGAACAATGAATTATGATTAATGTTCGGTTCAGACACAGATATATGATTAAAACTAGATAGGATCATTTACTTCAAGTGGCTAATGTTTGGGCACAGAATAGCTTCAATTCCCATATTATGGTTATAAGGGAAGCCTAACAATCTTGCATCATCCATCACTCATCATAGAGAGGCCAGTGGTGGCTGCAACTACTTGCTTTTCTTTTGCTTTGACAATATTCTTTTTCATTGAAAGTAAATATTCTTGATGCAATATATTCGATAGGAGTTGTCTAATGGACAATATACTTGATTTGGTATTCAATTAATTCAACAAATGAATGCGAATATGCATCTATTTTAGTTTCTTATGATGAATTAGAAACTTTAGCAGAAGCAGAACTAAACAGTCACAGTAGACCAAATTCTGGTTAAGCAGTGATATGAAGTTTTGTATAAAATATACCATATAGAAAAGGCAGATACTAGCCTCTTTTAACTTCAATGTGTATATTTAAAAACTCAAGAAAATTGCATTCCAACCACTATAAAAAGGTGATTATGACATCAAGGATCAGATTAGAGATAAGAGATTTTGTGTTTCCACAGTTTTCCCATTTGATCAGATAGGACCCCCTTTCACCCATTTGATTGAGAATGATCATTTTAACCAACTAAATGAGAATATAATTGTGAGATTTGTGCCTGTAGTTTGTCCCTCTCCCTATCACATCCCCACAACCAACATGCAACTCCACTTGCTGGATTTGTTCAGCCTTTGTTTGCATGGCAAATATATGGTGTCTTCTCTTTCTGGCTCTTTGGTTTTACTCGATGCTCTTTGAGACTCTTCAGATCTTGATAAACAAAAGATGAATCCAATTAAGAAAAGGGGATTTGTCATAATAGGTCATTGAGCCAAAAGGAAGTCAAACAAGTATGACTAAAGAGAAGGTTGACTATATAATCCAAAGCAAGATATGAGTGTCCCAAATGAGTAGGAAATAATTATGTTCTTTCTCTCACCACTTGGGTGTATTTGAATGGAGGAGCCATACCTCCTTTTTGAAAAATTTGTACCAAAACTCACATGAATTTGGCTCTTCATCTGCCCATTGAAAAAAAAGAGAGAAAAAGGAAAAGGAAAAGGAGATGACATGATAAAGCTTACAAACAGTATGAACTTCCCAACCCCACTTGTTCCCTCAATCAGCTGAATGTTTCTCTTTCCCCACCTACTATTGTCTATAGTACTTAATACAGAGAACTCAGTCATAATATCATGGATCCTTCATGTCATCCCCCACACACGAATTTCTTCCTGGATCTTACACCTTCCCATGTATGCCCGATTGGCCCTTTTTCACTACCATTCATGAATCATAGATATTGCATGGGTTCTTATACCCAATTAAGACCGGTTTTGAATGTCTCAAAACATGGTTATAGGTCTATAATTAACCATCACGTTTCGACCAAGAAACTCTTAATTCATACTTTCGTATAATTAGTAGAAATGGACCATTTAATTTGAAACATATATTCATATATAGCAATAAAAAAATTTATTGTGTAGTTCAAGATATAGGATGAAATTTCTGATATTAATATCTATTTTTTATTTAAATATTTTTATTTTACAATCTAATTTTTTTTTTATTTGAACAGATTTTATAAAGGCTGGGTTCGAACCCCAGCCTGAGAGAAGGGAATGTACCGCGGGTGATTTTTGCCACTTGGCCCGAAGGGCTCAGTTACAATCTAAATTTTAAAACATGACTCTCTCTAACAATATATATATATAATCTTCTGAATTCAATAATGCAGGCTCAATAAAAAAAGAGAATAAAAGAAAAGAATAAGTTCCTTTCAGAGCTTAGGATGCCTCACACGGAAGCCATACTTTTGCTTTCCATCTGTAGTGCATACACGACCTTCACATTTCCCCCCAAATTTCCCAATTCCACCCAATAAAAGGAGAAATGGTGAAAGCAACGGTCACTGCCTTTCCTCTTTCTTTCTTTCTCTCCCTTTCTCTCAAATCTTACCCCTCTCTCTCTCTCTCTCTCCCTTTTTTAAAGAAATGTGATTTGGTATAACCAATAATGTATGCTTAAAATACATTTGATGCCAACAATTTGATTTAACATGTTTTAGAAGCATTAGAAAAAAGTAAGTGGGATCATCAATAAGGTGACAAAGATGATCTATGTCCTCAAGCAAAAGATAATTCAAACCAACTCACAATCAATGCAAAATTGAGGTGTCCACTGTCCAGTCCGCGGCATATTATCCAAGATAAATTCTCTGCTTTGCAAAGTTGTCTCCCATTACATCTTTAATTTTCATAAAGACTAGACAGTTGAGTAAAAATTACTCTAATCTTTTCTTTTCTTTTCTTTTTTTTTTTTTGGTATGTGGAATTTAGGAATTAGGGATGTGAGTCAAGACGGCGGGTTATGCCGAGAAACATAGAAGAAAAAAAACAAAAAAAAGGATGATGTACAACTGATATCGCTGCTGGGATTCGAGCCTAGGTTTATAAGGCCACAACTTCGAATTCTTACCACTAAACTACAGCCGCTCGTTGGGATTTGAGGTGATTCTAAAAACAATAAATTTAATAATAACAGAAATAATCTCGTCCAGAAAGGCTGAAGGCTGCCATTTGGTTAGAACTCAAAAATATCATAGAAAGGTGGAAGCTTAAAAAATAAAATCAAACGAATTGTGTCTCTTCTCCAGTGGTTAATATTACTATAATCTACATATACGTACAATTGTTTAAACATGTTCAAAATGTTGGCAAAAACCTACTTTGAGCCCTAACATGTTGAACATGTTGGTAAAAACTTACTTTGAGTCTCTCATCTTATTGAATTTGAAGGTTTTAGTCTCTTACATTATACTATAACACTTTTAACCCTTCACCTTATTAGATTTGTAAGTTTTAGCCCTTCACCTATTAAAATTGAAGAAAACAACCCTCACTTTATATTAACTGTTAACACTATTAGTTAAAAGTAGATTTTTATCAACTAATAGTCAACTAATACCTAATTAATAGAATTAATGACATATTAAAGTTAATTCTGTTTTGATAGCTAACAATCAACTAACAGTCAGTTAATAGAATTAACAATCAATTAATAGAATTAACAAAATATTACAAAGTGAAAGTTATTTTCTTCAATTTTAATAGGTGAAGGGCTAAAAATGTCTTAATATAAGGTGAGGTTAAAACCTACAAATCTAATAAAATAAAGGGTTAAAACTTTTAAATTTGATAAGGTGAAAGGCTAAAAATAAACTTTTGCCCAATATGTTTTACAAGGCATACTCTGTTTTCATGAAAAGGTTCCTAGTAGAACATGTTTTAAATTTGCCCAAGAAGAACCTCCCAATGGACAGCATCCTCCATCTCTGGTTAGTATCACCGTACCAAGTATCATGGCAGTACCTACCAACACCTTTCCTTTTTCTCTTTACCCAGACAATTCAAAGATAGGCAACTGACTGGAATTAATGAAGAGTAGTGCTGAGTCTGTATTTCAGTGCAAACAGAAGACAGGAGCTTTAACTTGGTTGGCATCAAAGTTTTGAACAAACAAGAAAATAGAACCTAAATGAAGGCACATATATATCAAACAAAGCGAAAACGTAAAAATCAACATTATTATTATAGAACTCGAATTAAACGGAAATAAAGTTTTGGACACAATGACAAATACCAATCACTCTCATAACAGAATACTTGACACAATTAAGAGACACAACAATGCTATAATCAGGCAATGCCTGAGAAGCACTTTATTCAATTGAAATAGTTTATTAAATGAACTAATCTTCTTCCTCTTCTTCCTCTTTCCAGCAGCATCGCAGAGTTGACCTGGGTGATCCACAGTTCCCAGTCCTAACGAACTTCTGGTAGATGATAGAACTGCCCATTCCAAGCTCTTCAAGGCTTCTCTCTCCGCAACAGTAACCTTTCACATCCAGCAGACAGGTCTGCTCAAGTGACTTGCTTGCAACATCAGCATGCACCGCAATAGAAAACTCACTTGGTTTGAAACAAACCAACACCCTCTCAACCAGCTGCTCCAGATTCACATCTTTTGGATCGTATCCTACTGCTTCAAAGCTTGCATAACTGAAACCATCTTCTGGGGTAACATGAATGGTCGAAATTGCGGCTCCTTCAATTGCATTCATGGAATAACCACAGGGATCAAACTCGAAATCACATATCTCTGAATCAGGCAGAATCTCTCTTATCCCAGAATTAATGGTCATTGTAACAGCAGAACCTGATTGTTCTTTGTAGAAAACTGAAGCCATTTCCCTGTCCAAACCAGTCATGCACATCTCCAGAGTGTAAACAGGGTCAGAGTAGGTTACTGATTCAGCAGAAGCAGAGTAAAAATGCCATTTCTGTGGCTTATTCAAACCACCCATTATGTAAGCCTTACTACCAGAACCGAGCTTGCCAAAGTAGCTATCAAGGACAGCAACTTCTTCAGAGAAGTTACGGTGAGGATATGACTGTGCTCCTGGAAATATAAAGCTCCCACGGGTATACCTCACAGATTTCACGGCAAGGGACAGAGTGCCAGCCAACCTAAGGATGGGTGGGATTGACAGCAGTAACTTAGTAGTCCCGCAGGTTTTGATGATGATCTTGTAAGGATAAACAAAGAGGCTGGACTCAGAAAGGACATAGGAGTCAACATGCTCATTTGACAGAGAAGACACAATGGTGCACTGAGCAGGTCCTAGTATCTCATCCAGCTGCTCTTTTGACAGCAGTTGAAGGCCCTTGCCTTCAGGATCAACAAAGATGCTTGGCTCGAAAAATGATATTTCCAGCCTCTTTTCAAAACCTTCAAATCCAATTGCAGACACTACCATGGCCATGTCGACCATCAGATGCAATTATAGTTGGAAACGCGTTTAGCAGTTGCTAAGTGAAGAGTTCACAGTCCTAAAAAAATTGCAGTCGCGAAGAGAGCCAAAAGAGGAAGAAGACGATTGAAGACTATCCTAAAACGAAATATGGAAAACTAATGACTGGTTGACCACTAAATGTGGTCCTAATGGGTTCGCTAATTAGGAATATCAAGATGGCTTGCGAGCGCACTGCAGAAACAAGAAACAAAAAGCAGGATGTTAGTATCCAACAATCCCCAAAACAAACAAAAGTTATGATCTTCATGAAGCTTCCCACAATCAGGATTTCTATTATGGTTCTAAAACTTACGTTGGAGTATGCAGCAGATCTGAACTTCCTGATTCCACCGTTTGGCCTGACGTCTTCAATGCTGTAACCAAGGGGAGCTTCGTAGAATAATGATTTACTACTACTACTAGACTTCTTCTTCCCACCTTTAGACTCCATTAAATCATCCAGATACCACCTACCAGACCATCAAAACCATAACGAAAGTTAGACAATGGCAAAAAAAGCATACCAAACCTATGCGAAGAAAGCAATTTAACCAATTAGATCTTTCAAAATCCAAGAGAATGAACCATCAAAATCATTAAATTAAATTCATGCAATTACTAAGAACGTTAAGATAAGAAATAAATCAGATTCAGAAATCAAAACGCACAGAAATTAACCACAAAAATAACCAAATAGAAGTTTCAAGATAATAACGAAGAAAAAAGGCCATCAAAAACCATTGCATCAATCGAAACCAAGAAATAAACAGGATATCATCTTAAAGAATCAAATCGCATTAAAAGAAATCGCATCCTAATGAGATTGAATCGTAAAAACTTGATTATTGAACGCCATACTTACAAATTCAAATCTTGAATCTCTTCAACGAAGACTAACAATAATACGTTTAATCTCTGCGCAGATTCTGAAATCGACCGCAAGAACACTGAATCGGAAAACGAAAACAAACAATATTCGAGCGAAACCCAGATTTCAAGAGATAAAATAGAAGAGAAGACTTACAGATTAATCAAGATTGAGGACGAAAAGAGAATACACGAAGAACTTGGGAGGTGGCTGCAATCGTTCAGGTTTCTGGAATCGCCGGCGACTCAAGCGAATGATGAGGCTATTATGAGAAGAGCGAGGGTTTTCACCTTTATATATAGGGTGGCTGACTGGCTTTTGAAACGCGGAAAATTGTGACACCGGTTAAAGATAAAATTACGGCCCTGCCACTCACTTATTTTTAGGGGTCACTAAAAGGGGCTGCATTGTATATATGGTAAAAAAAAATT